TATAGTTTCAATTTCTCACATAGGTAGCAGAGATCCACATAATTATTGTAGCAAAATAGAAATGTACGCTTGTTAAGGTAGGTTTTAAGAATGAAATAGCCGGTTTAATAGTTGACACACCTCAGTTCTCAGCAGCGGTGACAGGAACTACCATCAAGTATAAAAATTCTAGTTAATAATGAGAATATCGACAGGTAAAATTACCTACAGATATAGCTATACCCATAATTATTTCTGTCGATTTGTCGTATGCTGTTGTCATCGTCGTTGCTGGCTGTCGCTGTCGTATTGATAAGCTTAGTACTACTACATGATATGTCTTTGAAAAATGTTGGCTTGATTGACATCAGTATCACTTTCATGTTAACACTAATTATAAAAGCCGTCATGGCTCTGTATCAGAAATGGGTCGGTCTCTTGTACCTAAAGAGAGAGAGAGAGAGAGAGAGAGAGAGAGAGAGAGAGAGAGAATGAAATTTCTGTGTTTCTTAATGAACCAAAGTGTAATAGTATCTGTGCAGAAATGAATAGATAATATAATAGATAATCACGGTAACAATTATTTATGCCTATAGGTGTAAGATTGGCTAAAAAGGCTAGGTCCATATAAAATAAGTAGGTACTTACATTTTTTAGAATTGCAAAAACCTTAACTGACAACTACAACTCCTCAGATGGGAATTATTTAATAATGTTAATTAAGAGTAACTAATGTCAGCAATTCCATTCGCATATTCGCGATGCACCAAACAAGGACATGAACGTTTCCGTGTTGAATCATTAGTTCATGGGACAAATTATAAGTTGATAACGTTTATACATTATTGTAAACACGTGCCTAGATTGATACTTAGGTTAGGTACTATTGCTTATATACCTAAAATTAAAATAAAATTTAAGCAATTTATTATACATATATATAAAATTTTATTTGAAATGGCAAACAAACTACCGCATGCCGACCCATTTGATGATAAGTACGAGTAATAATCATGGCTTATATATCCATTCTACCCCCATACGTTGCCAATCCGGAGAACTGAAGTGTCAGGCATGGTCTTCGGTTACTGCTTTGCTAAATCTCGTTCTTTGAATTGATGCCCAGCTTACAAAGCAAGCTATAAAGTCTATTTCGGCATATATGGAGTTACACCTATGTATATGTATCTATAGTACTAGGTATGTATATTTCTAAATATAGATAGATGGTCATTTGGTTTTCATACGTTTTTCTGCTATCAAGAGATTTAAATTAACTTTAATTGTCCATATTTTATAAAAGGCGCACACAGGTAAATTAGATTCCTATATTTCTAATTATTTTTAATATACTCTTTGTCTCGCTACAATTTGTCATTTAGAAACAACAAATATATATATTTTATCTTAACAGCTTCCGCCTATCGCTTAAGTCAGAATTAAAATGCACACACAAATGCAAACTGACTCATGTTGGCCTTGAAATAGACCAGTCTAATCATACTTTTAGCCAATCAGTAGTCGACACACGCTTCACAACCATCCTTTGTTTATTATCGTTGGTTTTGTCACGCCATTTTGTTAAAATGACCTTTTGTTGTCATTTATTAAATTATTTCAGAATTGTTATTAATTTGCATTTAGTTATGATATCATGGAAAAATATATTCATTATTAAATAAATAGAAGATAAGATATTCTTTAAAAGAAATAAGTATAGGAAACATACTAAATGACAATGTATACAATACTTACACATATACAGAGAGAGAATTCTCCTTCAGTCGTTAATTTTCGCGTGTAATAATAATAATAATAATAATAAACTCACATATAATATTGTGCACATTGAAGAAATACAATAAGAAAAAAAAAACAATAAATAGAAAATTATGAACAAAAGCTATAATATTCTATAAGATAGACTAACATACACTAGATGCACACACAAGACACTATAATTATCAAACGACATACATATATATATATATAAATAAATATACATACATATATTCAACATATTGGAAGATTTCAGAGTTAAATAGGAAAAAAACCTATTACATGTACCTACTATTATAAAATACCTATAAAAAAAAAAAAATTTCTATAAGATAGCTAATGCAGTATCAATAAATGTGAACAAGCACAGTGTTCATATAAAGTTTACAAGTGTTGTTATGTAAATAACAATTATTATTTACATAACATACAATTTGTTCAATTTGTTACAAAATGCAGTTAGCAGATACAGATTGTAACTAGCATTCCACGGCATTGCCTGTGTCAATTAGTGTAATAAGCATCCTATCTACAGCATCAGAGCGATAGAATACTTATTGTATACTTAAGTATGTAAGCTAATCATACATTTGTTTATTAAGGGACTAATGAATAAAAATATATATTTGTAAAATATATATATATATACATATCAAGAATATTATAAGACAGAAATTATCGAAAGCGCTACGTTACGTACCAGATCTTAAAAGATTTACCTCGTCCAATTTACTTGGTACGGGTGTAATGTGTAATTATTTTTTTATTATTCCTTGCCATGGGAGTTCAACGCCATGCATTAATTACAATATTAACATGTGAGGGTTCCGCTTCAGTTAGCCTTCATAGTTAATAGTCACAGTTTTGTAACATTTAAAATTCTGTGATGTTCAAAATATGAACATTATTTGACACTTAACATACAAAAAAAGAACAATTTTCTAAATGATAAGACTAGAGAATACACTACATACTTACAAATATATTTTTATTGGAATTATGACTACTAGGTATCAATAAATTTACTTTTTAATATAAAGAATACTAAAATACATAGTTACATACGCTGAATAATTTTATTTTAATAATTAAAATGTTTAATCAATAAAAATGTTGACGATCACTATAAACGGATGCTATAGGCAGCGTTGCGTTTTTACAAAGTCAATGAATGGTTTATGAATGCAATACAAAACTGCAGGTTTTTTGTTAATTTATTTAACTCATTGCGTACGATTTGAACGGTAGTGGATAGTGCGGTAATAAATTATGGCCACTAGTCGTATGCAAATATTTGCACCCTTCTCACTTTAATAGTTCAATCGAGTAGGCAAGTTTTTATAAGGAATTTGATAGGAACATAATGAGAAATATGAAAAAAGTAAATTGTAAATTAATTAGTAAATAAAATGTAGAGTCGATAAATATGATTATTCCGTACTTAATTACAAGAACGCTATAGATATACATACCTACCTACACAGATATTATGCAATCAACTCAGTGTGTATTTATTAATGAGTATTTTCATCTAGACAGGACATAATGTACAACTTATCTACCATGGTAGGTTATTCTCCAAAACAACCCTCTCTAGGAACCGTCGTTAATTCTTAGTGAATTTGCCACGATGAGCTAACTGACATGACTTCATGCTCATCCTGTACTCCGCTCTTGCCCGCCAGCGTAGGTATACCGTTAAAGCAGAAGGACGCACCATTCGATTGCCATCCTATAAAAAGAGAATCTATTTATTTTATACATACTATTAGGTAATATTAACATCCGCATAAATAAGTCTACACATATAAATATTACTGTAATAAAGAAATTACCATATTATTAAACTTTCTTTAGTAAAGTAATTATTACCTACCTACTCCTGTATCCACAACTGTGCAGCAGTAGCGATACAAAATTTATCTTTGCATTAAACTACCATAGTCTGTAATTAGTATTCTATAATTAGTCGCCAGCGAAACGAAAACATCAAACGTAGCTAATAAATTCATACGTGACAAGTTCGTCGACATTTTGTCATGTGAAAGCAGTATTTTTAATAGTTTGAAAAGCTGTTCATAATTATTATTAATGGTGTTCATAAAATATTCAGTGTTTATTGCACTGTTTGGTGAATGTTAATGTTGGTAAACATGACCATTTCTAGGTATATTTTTAAATCACGAATGTAATTTTATAAGCATACGTTCGTTTTTCCTCTGGTCGATTTAATCGAAACTTGTAACTGCTTTGAATAATATTTTAGTTTAGGTAAATTAAGAATTCTGGGCTGCTGGAATGAATTGTTTAAAACTAAATAGGCTCAAAATACTTACTAATTACACTTGTACTTATTCGGTTCTGAAATGGTGTCCATTTTATTATGCTTATAAAGAGAGAGGATGTCGAAGAATAGGAGTTTTAAATATGGATAGATTATGTGAAATAGAGGGAATAATGGAAAAAAATGACCTACAAAGCATAGCTGAGTTTAAACAAAGAGTACAAAATATACATAATTTGTGTTAGCAGTATTTTCTTTATGATAAATATATAGGTAGGTATAGGAACATCTTATATACTCTACATTAAATATAAGTTCTCTAAAATTAATAATATTGTTCTTATAATTTTATTGTTTATCTTCTTTTTTATTTTATAGATATTTTCTAAACTGCGTATCTCCTTCCATTGTGATATTGTATTCCCACGATTTTTCTTCTTTTTTTAACTAGCGGACTTTTATGTGATTTCACTATACTATTTTTCTTTTAAATCTGTTCAAGATCTGAAAGTAAGTTTTGAAGAAGTTCTTGTTGTTGGAATTTATTTAAAATTTGTATAGATTCATATTGGGTACGTACTATACAAAACTGATAATAATATTAGTAGCAAGTAAAGTAAAGTTAATGTTTTGAATTCGTTATTTTTGTTAGTATGAGTTATTCGTTAGGTTAGTACACGATGTAAGGTTTGATTGTGTGTCTTAAAATTGAGTTATGATGACGTTTGAAAACTTCAAAATAATACATACTTACCTAAGAATTTACATTACGTATGTAGTATTTTTAAGTTTTCAAACGCGAAGCTACTTCAAAAACTTCCAGTTTAATATTATTGTTTTCCATATACCTACAACCTATTTTAAACGCAGTTTGGTAGTTTGTATCTCTTATTCTTGAGACTCCCATACATTCTATACGCATTTGTTTATCTTATTAAAGTTTTTGTCTTAATTTCAGGTCTAGAACGGGTGGCGGAGGAGTTGATGGGTCGAAGAAAATGGAAACTATATCAGGACGCGTTAGTACCCAAGCGCACCGAAGCCGAACGATCCAGCGACGAAGAATCCATGCCTGCCACCGACCCCCCTCCCGCGCTCAAAATAAAGACCATAGAGCAGATCAACGCGCCAGAAGACGACAGGCCGAAACTAGAACCGGAGACAGAGGCCGAACCGGAGAAGACGAGGCGGCCAGAGACAATACTAGAGAGCCTGATCAAAAGACCAGCAACACAGCCAAAGTTGGAAGTGCCCGAGGAACCAGCAGACTGGAAACCACCAGACAAATGTTATTTTTGTGTCGATGGAGAGAGGGGTGAAACGGCCGCAGTGGACGGCAGGCAAGCGGGCGGCGCGACAGTAAGTAACTCCTCGTCGTATTTTTAAAATTAAACTAACTCATTAAATATTTTATAATTGAACTTATCATAGACTTAAGTAGCATTTGGTATAGAGAAATTAAATGTAGACATTGAAATAGGAAATGGGAAGGCCTCAGTGAAATTGCGGTTTTTCCGACGGTCGCAAATTCGATTCTTCACACGATGCAAATATTTGTATTTTATGATTCTGAAACTTTGAATTGGTCTGGGTGTTTTCAATTTAATATACATGTATGCATTTATAAAAAAGTGTTATTATTTCCATCAATTGTTTTCTATTTATAACACATGTTCTACTTTGCTTAGGACTAGATGGGACTGTGTGAATTGTCCTAGGTTATTATTATTATTATTATAGGCCACTGGTTTCAGTTAATCGCAGTTATGCTGACGAAATTGTAGGCGGAAGTTGGGAAGAAGTTTGGGAAATATTCTTTTAAAACTTATCGATCCGCCCCGACTTCACACGAGTATAATTATAATAGTATTATTGTAATTATAATAATCTATAAAGTTATAAAAAATTCTAATTTTTTTTATTAAAATGACTGTTTACTCTCTGGTGGGTAACGTTACTTTCTGGGTGTGATAGAAATTTAAATTAGTAGAGTTTATCCTTTACAAATAAAACATTTCAATTATTACTTTTATATGTAACTACATAGATCAATTTTGTTATACGTGCGTGGTATATGTACATATATTAACATGTAGATTAAATGATTTTTCCATTCGATAAAGTAACTATTATTTGAGTTTATTCATTAAAAACAGAATATCAATAGTCTTCTGTATAATATTAGTATATATAATTTCATAAGACTAAATAATGGGTTTATAATGTTTATATATGCAGTAATGATATGATATATGTATAAAATCTAAACTTATAGGTAGTAATAGTAGTTCCTGGTAAGCCTCGAGTAGCTAGACCGAGCAGTAAACTACAAATATGCTCGAATTTTCTCGACTCAATAACAAGAGTGCGAACCTTGAACCAGATTGTGGACGATTAGCTGACCAGATGTTCACAAAAGGCGGGCCAATGTTACACTTTATCTTATTTCAACGTGTCTAGAGTTCAAACTTAGATGAAGCGTTTAAATTAATGGCAACCACATGTATACAATGATTGTGTTACGGATATATTAGGTTTCGAGCTGGCTTATTTGCTATTCCTATCGTATAAAATATTATAACATATAAAAAATAAGATGTTGAATTAGAATTATGTCTAATTATTATTTATTCTACTCCTATATTTAGGCTAAAATTAATCGCCGGTAATCATAAATATCGTCACTGTACTGTTGAATCAAAAACCTCCTCAAAATCGAATAACAGGTTTACACATAAACTCTAATATATTACTATGTCGGGAGTTGTTTATTCTCTCATACCTCTGACTGCTATATCTAATGATGAAAATTTGTGACTCATTGTGAAAATTTCGACCAACATAGCACAATATAGAATAAAATGTAACGTTCTTTATTTTAAAATATATAGTTGGACTAATATTTTATTTTCCAGTTACACTAAGTGACAGTAGTGACTTACTTACTCATAATAATATAAAATAAACATTATCAATATAAATGTGAAAAATTCAGGTCATACGAGTAGGTACCGATATTTTATTATATTTAACTATATATTTTTTTATATAAACGGAGTGACGTCCGCTGTTCATTGTGTATTTATGGATATTTTTTTCTTGTTAATATATACTAGGTAGGTACCTACTATAAGTACCTATAGTGACATCATTTCGTAACTTACTTGTTGATTTATAAACCAAATATTTGTTATTTTCTCTAATGATAAAAAATCGAAAAATCTTCTATAACTTTTTTTTAAATAACATTAAATTTAAATATCCTAGTATATTATAATTACAGTAATCTGCATTTATAATAGGAAGATTTCCATAAAGATTAATATTTTAACGTGTAGTGTGTATTAGAGGTTTAGTTCGTGACTCATTGTTGAGTGATCACCGCTCATTGAATGTCAAGGCTGCTGAGGTGCATTCATTTTGAATCATGTGATGTATTAAATTAAATGTAACTAGGTATATGATTATGCTAACCATTATAATCTTTTCCAAATAGGTATCTCTTATACAATAAGATGACGAACTGATAGAGCGTTTTAAATTGAAATTCTTCCTATTATTATGTTCTAATAATAAACAAACGTCTACTAAAATATTGAAATATATTAGATAGTATTTTCATTTAAAACCTTTTTGATCAAAATTTTTAATTGCTTTCACTAATTCTAATTACTGTTAGGTATAGTTGGGTTTGTGTTGCTGTTTGTTATAGTTATATCGAAATTGTTGGTTTGTTGGTGGTAAGGTAGAGTCGAGAGAGAGAGAGAGACTTGTGATTAGACTTTTATCCCTATAATTAAAAAAATATAATTATGGTTATGGTCGGTCCTACTTATTAATTAGGTCGATAAGAAAATACTATATCCGTCTCCGTAACGCCAGAATCTGATTGATATAGCAATCGTAAGTATTCAACAATGAAGAAAACTATATGTGCTGAAATAGAATGCATCGAATGTTCAGTGTAGTTTAAAGTAAATAAAAATAAATATATTGTTATAAAATAGCTTCTATACTGTCATATTTCAGTATAGACCAGAGTGCAGAACAATTGAAACCAACCTGTAAGTCTGATCGCTCGCTATTTACTTGCTTGACGGCCCATAACTTTTTAACTAGTCCTCTCCGTTCTACGATCAGAATTTTAGAAAAATACAAACATTCGCCAATCCTAGAATGAAATATCTGTTTCCCGTTTCCGTTTTTTGTCATGGGAACTAACAAATTGACATTTCAACTGTATAGTGTATAAATCTATGCGTGTGGTTACACAAAAAACAGTTTGGGCATACATTTCTTACAATGGGAAGCTGCATTGATGAGTTCAACGAGTTATTGTTCCGTATTCCCACACATGTAGCAATCATACTAAATTATTACGTTTTGTGAAAAAAATAGATACAGCACAATAACAGTATGTAATAGTAATTCTGATTGATATTAAAATTGTTAGTAGTAAATATGAAGATCAAAAACTAGGAACTGTTTAACTACAATACAATGCACTTGGTGGAAGTATATATTGTGTACTAGTAAGGCGTCAGTTATTGGAGTTGAGATGTTCTATTTTGTATTAAAATAAATATTTTTGTATAGCCGTTTACTGGAGAATACAATTTTTGACAAATTGCAAACAAAAATAAAATGTTTCTGCTTTTTAATAATAGTTTTGGTATAGCGAAAATAGCAAGCAAACCATGGAGAAAATGCGTGCCCTTCACTTGTTTGTGCAATTAATAATGAAATTTGTATTCACAATAGTTAATTCGTGTGATAAATTTCCGTTTCAAGTCGGGTGACTTTGCACACGTAGGTACAGATTATAAACCTTCATTTTTTTTTCACACACTTCATATATTTCTTAAGTTATGAAATACAAACATGCAATCAGCATAAAGTAAGATTATTACGTCATACGAACGCATTTTTTTACATTACCTTTATTATAAGGCAGTAAAGTTCTTAAACGTCTATTTATTTTTGCGCATGACTTACAATCAACTTGCGTTAGTACTTTAATAATGTAAATAAAAACATAAGCACGAATGGAAATGATTTATTAACTGTATTAAGTATTTATAATGGTATTGTTAATAATTTATATGAATGATATAGAGTATTTGTTTTTCTTCCTAATAGACATGTAAATTTAATTTTTATTCAGACACTTAACTCGACATATTCGTTCAGTGGGTTACTCGATAATAGTATTATTAGGTTGTCAATCTGAAGTAATACTTATTATAAAGAAGAAAGATAATATATATAGGATATAACTAAAAATAATGAGTCTATTTAGAAAATTTGGTAATTGCTATATGTTGCTATAGTAAGTTATATTATTAGCGAAAAATATGAGTTGTAATAATAATAATTGCATTCGTACTAACAGTAAAATATGAGTTATTTGTGACCAATAACTCATATTTTACGTTCATATTTAAGTTGTGATTTGAGTACATAAATATATACAGTATCTATACATATAGTATGTCTAGTCTTAAATAGCAATGATTATAGGTGTACAATTAAATAAAATTTAAATTTCTGATGCATTAGTAAAAACCTGGTTATTAAAAATTACACTAATAAACAGTTTTTTAATAAATGCATATGAAAGTATAGTTCTAATTTTTTTTATATATAACAAATTTCTCATAAGTATTAATTTATTATAAAGTTTTTTTTTGATGAAACGTTATGATGCGATAAAAATATTATAGCTTTCAATCATCCTGGAATTTCAGTGAATATAGATATAGGTAACATCTGACATTTTGTCCCCACGTTTATCATTGAATCTTTTGACTAAAGAGTCAATTCAATATATTTCATAACAACAAAATTTACTTTCATATGGTATAAAAATAGACCTATCTATTTCAACAAACTCTATCCAATTGTGCACGTTTGTTTATTAATTTTATAGCCAGTACAGACATATATCTAATAGTACATTTCGTATACGTACTTAAGTTATGAAAATTGATACAAAAGACAATACTTAATGTTAGGTATTAAAATATTCCTACGCAGTAAATACCTGGTACTTGTTATGGACGATTAAACCAGCCATTGTAATTAATAACAAAAACGATCCTTCCGTATTAACATTTCTAATCATTGTCAGTTCATAATAACAGATTATTGTAAACCCTTTAGCCTACAATAGTAATTATGTACCTTGTCTAAACCACACCAGACCAGCACAACTAGGTCCATACCATTCCATAGAAATTTTCCTTCGAAGCGAGCTTTTCCTAATAACAGGGTGGAGGAAGAGGTCAGCTTACCATGGCTGCTCGACAAACCATAGTTTCAATTTACGAAACAATGCCTTATCCATTTGCTACGATTCC